CTCTAGCCGCCACGCATATAAAGGATTTAGAGTGAAAAACTTTGTTTTACGGGCCCACCACTGGGCTGGTTTGTTGTGCAAGCGGGCCATCCCGTATTTGGCCGGCGGAATCACTCGCACGCAAGCCCAAACCCGGGCGGGTCCACGCTGTCAAGGTGTATTTCACCTTTGGCGTGATGAAAGAGGCGAGCTAACTTTGCGCAGATTTGTGTCCCGATGCTTGGGGTGTACACCAAGAAGGCATCTGCCAGAACTAAAATGTTGGTCACTATATAGGCCCTGTGCTTGGAAATCGTATGAAAATGTATTCGCAGTAATTCTGACATTTAATTTGTTTTTATTCTGAGCATACGCATTGATATTCCTCAGCTGTACTGTGTTAACATTGGCTTAAATCTGCGTAGAATTTAAATACTGTGTATACATTTTATCGTAAAAACGCACGCACACGTGTAAACCTGCTTTTCTCACCAGATTCATGCAACCCTATTTTTATTTTCAACTTTCCTAATTTTGTGGACCCGCGCCAAATCCCACGTAGCATATGTTAGACGCGAATAAATGCGTATTTATAGAAATAGTAACCGCGATTTTGTGCAACGTGATACACACACACACACGAGTGCGCTGATGTGCGTGGCGGTATATGGCGTGATTAAAATCCGACTCCCGAGTGGCTCACGCGGTTTGTGTCACGAAGCCACTCAATATCGAAGCACAGACCAAAAAAACACGACAGTTGTTCTTCGCCTGGCCGTATTGACGTAAACCTCGTGGTTGTGGTTGTGTACAGAGCATGGCGTGTGCCTTTGAGTTGCAGGAGATCGCATAACCTAGGAGGTCACGGTTATTGCATCGAGTGTTTACCAACTGTGATTCAAAATATAACATGTGCTACAATCATTACACATGTATTAGAAACTGCTAATGGGGTCCCACAAGGCTGCCTGCTGTCCACACCGTGAAACTGGATTGCTTACTTACTCTTAGTTCTTTCGGTAAAGTCACGTAGGTAAAAAATGAAATAAAATTAATAAAAATAAAAAATGAAAATCACGACGTCGTGATTTGAAATTAAAATTAATAAAAATAAAACAATGAAAATCACGACGTCGTGATTTTCATTTCTTTTTATTAATTTTATTTTCATTTTTTACCTACGTGACTTTACCGAAAGAACTAAGAGTATGAATGCTTGCAGTCACGAAAGCTTCAAATCTAGAATGGATTGCCTACTATCTGACATACGACATGGGATCGGTACACGACCACACGCTGCGTTTTGCCAGACATGTTGCCATTACCCAGGGCTTGCGGTGTATGGCGAGGAGTGGAGAGCAACTTTCATGGGTTCATGTAACAGAGCACTGAGGGATGGATAACTTCAGAGGCTTTGGCGTGCCAGAGTCACGTGCCATGTTCTCTTTATCTGTGTTTCGTCGGGGAGTAAAATTGTTGTCGATATGTGAACGAGAGGAATTACTTGGCATGTGCCCCCCCCCCCCCCCCAATATTCAAATATGCTCAAAATGTCCCCCCAATGTTGCTATAAAATAGATTTCTGTTTATATGATTGTGGTTATGATTGTACTTTATTAATCCCTAATCTCTGCCATTACATACAATGAAACAAGCAAAAGTAAGAAAGAAAAAAACAGAGCCATGTAATACAATATACTATTAGACATTATTGTAAAAATAAAAATAAAGAGTCCATCCTACGTGTTAGTGAATTTTTGTTATATTTTAGGCAGGAAATTCGTTTTCAAATTTAGAATTTTTTTTCTGGGGGGGGGGGACCCCAGACCCCCTGGAAGATTTGGTCCCCCCCAATGTTGACTCCATGGCTACGGCCTTGCTTGGCATAACATGTGAAGGAATGACACGTGTAAGTGCACACGTTTTCTCATTGAAAATCGGTAAATTTCTAAATATTACTGTCCTAGTCACAAAAGCAAAGTTTGTGGGGGAAAATAGGCATTTTCTGTAGTTGAGGGAACAATTTTCTTTTGTTACACAGTAAATTATCAATGAAACGCAGGTTCTATTTAAAACTTCATGTGAAATGTGTTTTTTTAAGAGTACGGTATATGTATTCTGTATTGCTTAACATTTACTACGACACTATATGATGCTGTTGTGACATTATATCGCATGCGTACCATATTGCTTGACTGCTCCAAGTCCCCCTGGAAAACAAACCAGATACGTTTTGTCTCCATGTTCTAAATAAAGGACATGGTACCTGGGGTCCCATGGTTCCTCCTTTACAGAACTCTCTTGGGGGGTCATGCCCCCCCCCACCACCCACCCCCGCGCAAGACAGTGTGTGTACATGGACATGCGCAGCCTTGTCGTCGTCAATCCACTGCTGAAAGAGTACCTCCCCACGCCGAGCAAGGCCGCTAAGCAAATGGTGCCACTCTCTCATCACGCTGGCGAAGCCACGCGTCGGCGCGGGAGCATAGAAGTACAGCACAACGGTGACCGCTTGTCTGTGCGGCTTGGTTAAAGCAGACGCGCACAGTTGTGGGAGCGTACAAGTAGAGCAGAAACGGTAACGCTTTGGCTGTGCCACCTGGTGAATGGAAGGAACGCGTAGACGTGGGAGCATAGAAGTACAGCACAACTGTGCTTGTTTCTGCGCCGTCTCTGTTGTCTAGAACGGAGCTCGAACGCAGTGCAACGGGTCATGAGCACGTGTATCGATATGGGGCACCTCTGTGCGAAAAACTAAAACACACACCTATTCGTATTTTGGTATTTGAAACCGCGCGTAGAAATAAAACATGAATAAAACATCTTCTTGGTTTTTTCGGTAAAGTCACGTAGAATGGAAATGATAAAATAATACAAATAATACATGTTTAATTTTTATTATTTTATCATTTCCATTCTACGTGACTTTACCGAAAGAACCAAGAAGATGAATCCCTGCAGTCACGAAAGCTTTAAATCGAAAAAAATGAATAAAACAATGCCATTTTGATACTGTTGCAATTCAAATGGGACGCCATGTAAACCCGTCCATCACTTGTAACGTGTTATTCAATTGCGCTGGGCCAATTCGGAACGAGCGATAACCGTCCACGGCTCCAAGCCCCGCCAACTCGCAACCTACTGACGGTGGTGAAGTATGGTCAAACAACGCCCCGTGATCGGCAAGGCATGGGGGAGGGGGGGAGATAAGGGGCTTCATCCAGCAGTGGATCGACCATGGCTGATGGAGCAATTGCCTAACTACCGAGCGCAATAACGGGACTTTAGCCTAATACGCGGAATGAATTAGTCACTAAATACATTTTATTAATCACCTTTAATGGGGGGGGGGGGCCCGCATGGAAAAAAAACGCAAACGCGACACTCCTCCCCGCCGCTCCACGTTTCAGCAGCGAGAGAATTACTCTCTCGCTCTCTCTCCCACGTCAATCACCGTAATTAACACTGAAGGGGAATCGGCCACGTCGGGCAGAAATGTGGACTGTCGCGTTTCTCCCCCCCCACCCACCCTTTTCAATTCTGCTCACAATCGGCAGGCACATTGCATAAGCATCGGGGCTCGGCGGCTTTGCCAAGTCACGCTTTGTCAAAGCTGTTGCGGATGACGGGCAATGCAGAGGGGAGGGGGGGAGTGTTTGGGGGGGAGTGTTTGGGGGGGGGGGTGTTTGGGGGGGGAGGAGTGTTTGGGGGGGGAGGGGGAGTGTTTGGGGGAGGGGGAGTGTTTGGGGGGGGGGAAGTCTTTGGGAGGGGGGAGAGTGGTTGGGAGGGGGGAGAGTGTTTGAGGGGGGGGGAGAGTGTTTGGGAGGGGGGAGGAGAGTGTTTGGGGGGGGGTAATTTGTGAATTCACCGCGTTGGGAGCTGTGGGGCCAGATCAGCACCCTCCCCCAGCCCTCAACAATCAGTCCCACGTTCAGCAGCGGGGCGAAGCGCGAATTACTGCGCATTTACACTTATCAGATTAAAAAAAACACTCGAAATTGCCCAATGGGGGGTGGCAAAATTGAGACTTAATGTGAATAAGTGACCCGAATTGCGCCCCAAATCGTCGAGAGCTCGGAACGCTAAGTAGGTTGAGCCTGGGTAAGTGTGTAGATGGGTAAACTAAAGTGGACAAACATGCTTTCATAGGCTTGCGCGGAATGTATGTGTGCATGTTGGACCTCTTTCGTGTATCCGTGGTGGACTACGTAGAAACAATATACTGTGTTATACTTCACTTCTGTGTTCCCACGAATTACGTTTCCTGCCTTCACCAGACACGCACCGACCAGCTTTGGTGAAGTATGGCTTAATGCCCCCCCCCACAAACCCACACGACGTACGGAGACTCTCATCCAGCAGTGGATGGAACAAAGGTTTGTACAAGAACGTGTGTGCGTGTGAGATGGCCGAGACACGTGAACGCGAGAAACTTCCACAAATAAGCGGACGTCTTCCAAAACTTCAGCCGCATCGATTTATTGGCGACTACAATTGCGTATCGCAAAGCAAACGTGGGGCACACGATGTACAACTACAAAACAAAACCCATTATCATCACATCGCATTATACTCAACCAGCATTAAACCAACGTTGTTACAAAGTTCAACTTATTGTTATAACTAATAACTTTTTTTTCTTCCCACGCGTCTCCAAAATCGGCACCGAAATTATATTTTACAGAAATTCATCGGCGAGATAGTGGGTCGAGGCGTTGCAATTCCGTGTCGGTTATTGTGAATGTTTGACCATACTTCCCCAAGCTGGTCAGGAGAGTGAGTGAAAATGTTGTACGGTGGGTGTGGGGGCAGGCCCCGGTCTATAGATCACTCGCCACCGATGTGAGCCGTGGCCGGTAATCGATCCCAGGTGGCCGGGTTAAATAACGCAGCGAGGGTCGCTTTAACAGCAAACTACAATAGGTAAAAGCACAACGATGAACTCTGATAATGAATACCCCTAAACACCGCCTCTAACGATACCCTTGCGTTGCTTGTGTCGACAACTTACGGCCACTTACCTGTTGAGTGCGAATAAATGATTGTCAGAGGACGACGAAGCAGAAGCAGCAGAGGCGGCGGCAGTAGCAGCAACAGCAGCAACAGCAGCACGTGTACAAATCGGAGGAGTTGAGATGGGCTGAAGGAGGAGGAGGCTTTTGGGTTTCATTAAATCCGCTACGTGGGTGTGTCAATTACGTAATATTGGGAACGCCACCCATTGGCCGGTGTGGATGTGACAGCACGCACGCTCTGTGACCGGGTGGTGGAGGCACGCGTGTTATAGGGTCAACCACCTCGATCCCAGAGGTCTCTTATTTCCAATGGGGGGGTGTTCGTCCGCGGCATTTAACGTTCAAGGGCACTCACATATAGCGACAGAGCACCACATCTGAAAGTTGTTGTTGTTTAAACTAAATATGTACGTGATATTTCCACCGTTCACATCTGTGGCGTGCCGTGTGTACGTTGAACTTATTTGGCGCCGTGCGTAGCCAACCGTCCTGAATCGAGGGCAGGTGGACGGACACGAAGGAGACGGAACGATGAAATAACTTCGTGTCCGTGTTGCGAGGTCGATTATATTTCACGGCAGGACTGCGAGAGGCGGCAGCGACTTGGGGAAGACAGCCACCCAGCAGTGAATTGAGCATGGCCGACGATAATTATTGATCGTGTCGGGCAATGTATATTGCGGTCCATCTTCTTGGTTCTTTCGGTAAAGTCACGTAGAAGGGAAGTAATAAAATAATACAAATAAAACATAATAATTCTCACGACGTTTCGGCCACAACGCAAGCAGCCGTCCGCAGGTGAAGACCAGGTCTGTCGGGGATACAGCGTCTGAATGAGTTTCATTGAATGAGTTTCATTCAGACGCTGTCGCCTCGACAGACCTGGTCTTCACCTGAGGACGGCTGCTTGCGTTGTGGCCGAAACGTCGTGATAATTATTTTATTGTTTTATTTTTATTATTTTATTACTTCCCTTCTACGTGACTTTACCGAAAGAACCAAGAAGATGAATCCCTGCAGTCACGAAAGCTTTAAATCGAAATTTATATTGCGGTCCTTGCAGATTGCGTGAATGTGAAAGCGACTGGATTTTAAAACACCGCTTGAATGCTCAACTTATTTTACATCGATTCCAAAATTACCCTGCCTTCTAACAGCGTCACTGAACGTTGCAAACGTTTAAATCGGAAAGTATTGTGCAGTATTAGTGGCTCGTGACATGACATCAACTCGAAATCAACCCTGTACCAGCATGACCTTGTTTAAAGGAGGTAAAACATATATATAGGGAGCATTACGCAATTAATGTCAAACAATTGTTAATTATATGTATTTAAGGAAAGTGGTTAAGCCATCTATAAGCCACCACGAGAATGATTCTCACGATGTTCAAGATATGCTGGAAAGCTGACATTTGGGGAAAACAATAATCCGGAACTTCATGTCTATGACTTTTGACTTAAAGCTTTCGTGACTGCAGGAATTCATATTCTTGGTTTTTTCGGTAAAGTCACGTAGATGGAAAACAAAAAACTAAAATAATACAATGAAAATTAATACAATTATTTTTTATTTTGAATTTAATTATTTTATTTCTTGTTTTCTATCTACGTGACTTTACCGAAAGAACCAAGAATATGACTATCACATCCTGATTTTTTTTTGGCCATCAAACAATTACAGGCCGATTGGCTTTATTTTTAGAGCAGGTTTTTGCCTCAAAAGTTCAACACGTGGATATACAACTACGGAATCCGTCAGGCGCATTCCACGGAGTGTGTGGGGGTGGACAGAGCCAAACAAAGCGGCCGTGGTTTCACAACCGCTTACCAGCGTAACATCCAACCGGTAATGACTGCCGTGCATGCGGCACCTGATATTAAAAATCAAGTGTTGAATAAGGCTCCGTATGAATCTCAGCATGAAGCACTACTGTTGTGCGTTCAAGCACAACGTATGCATCACTGACAATAAAAATGGAATGAAAGCTGAATAGTGTGCAAAGAATCGTGGAGAAGCACCCCATCGATTGAAATAGAGACAGAAAGGACACAGAATCATGGCACAGACCAAAACCAGACGGCAGATTGTAAACGAAAGTGGACTTCGCCAGGATGATGCACTGCTAAGGATGATGACTGCTGATGGAATGGCAGACAAAGGAGAGAGTGGAGAACCAGCGCTAAGGCTGAGCTATGAGATTAGTAAATGTTTAGTAGGCGTGAGATGGATTGTGGCAATTCAGGAGCCATTCATAACAGCACCAGGCGGTCTTCATTCAGCAGCATAGACAATGGATTATGATGATATTCAAATTTTAATTGTAATCCCTGGGATGTATGTTGAACTTCTTTCGCAACATAACTAGCCAACCGTGCTAATCGGAAGTGCTATTGGAAAAGCAAATGGTGCAATATTATTCTTTACAATTCTATATTTTACAATGCAGTCGTAACTCTTTTAAAGCACTACAAAGCCATAGACAAAACCGGTTCACAGCATTTTCACAACATAGTTTACTCGCTTGTCAACATCTTGCGTACACAATCCCGCAATACTTTTACATCACGTAGATACATCACTGTATACCTTATGCAGTCGACACAATGATCAAACGGATATCTTAATAGGATCCACCAAATGTCAATAATATACACCGGGCATGACTTAGGGAAGGAATTAAAAAAGGGTAAATATTTATCAAAATCATGTAAAGTTTTAACATTAAAAAAGCACTCGTTACAACCATTCTACAATCCACCAGTGTTTGAGTGTAAACGAGCCCCATTGTCATGCCGCCGACATGACGTGGCATTTCCTACATCCCAAATGTGTGTCTTGTTCTCACCATAAACATTTACACCACGTTACCATGGCACGAACACACATTCGTAAATGTCGACTACCTTAGTGCATTCTCTGGAAGAAAAGAAGAATAAATAATTTAGGATGGTGCTTTGTCAATACATTTCTAGATAAAAGCCTAACCCACGCCCTGTGGATTGGGGTGCCCAAGATGGGTTCATATTTCACTCGCCACCGGTTTGTTGTTGTTGTTGTGGCTGGAAATCGAATTTGGGTCACGAGGTTTGATATGCAGTGCGCCAATCACTGCAGCACTGCTCCGATAAACTAGTATCTCTAGTAACCAACTAGTATCTACTGAAACAATAACCCATATTTTATACATTAGCGAAATAAAACATAACTGGTCACGATTTGACCACGATTGTGAGATTTAATTAATCATAAAAGTAAAAAAAGCATTTCAACTGGAGTCTCAAACTCTGATTCCACAAAGAGTAATGAATGACACCAAAACCATTTACAGTTGCACGTGAAAGAATAAAGACTGTTGTAAGCTGAACGCAGGACAAGAACATTGTATATTATGGAGAAGACACCAGCTTGCAGATCGTTTGTACAAATATAAATGGCATGACAGCAGGAATATTACGGATATAGATTGGTAAACAATATTGAGAGCATGTCGGTCTCCACTGCCATATCATGTGCTTAGTTGCTGACGCTCGCATGAGCAACAATGAGCGATGAGGCCTCCATTACAGAAAGTGCACTGCAAATATTGCAGACACGGGGTGTCTGCAAAAAAACATACGTGAGACACTCAAAGACGACGAACAATAACAGGGCAGCAACAAACATTGACAGTGATGGCAATGACTTGCCACAGAGGACGGTAACTGGTTTCCGGGAATGATTAGTGGGCGAACACAGCACGAGTTAGATTTTTCATGTGACAAGAAAACATCGCTTTATTTCAACAAAAAATAACAAATAGGAACAGTGAATGTCACATACTGGAACTCTAGGACACGTTGGACGATAATAAATAGGAACTTGCGGATTGCTCATTTTTGTCTGTCTGCTACATGGGTATCTGGAAGATATTTGTAATAACGGGGTACAGGATATGATATCCTCTCCTGGTGCCTGCCCTCAAATCGCTCCCACAAACGATCAACACCAGCATTTGCAATGCTTTATGATTGTGGAATGTGGAACCTTCCAAGCCTGCTCAATGAGTAATATCCAGGCAACATTTACCGCCACGGGGAGGATTTCAAAGCACTCCGGGTGTATATGGAGCATGTAACTCATTAAACTGGTGAACGTTTCATTGTTCAATACCAGCAACATGGCCCTGAGGTCAAATAGTGCGCGTGGCTCCAACTCCATTGCCCACCGAACTACTCGTCATTCTCATCGTCCATTTTGGTGCACCAAGACGCAAAATTAGCCGTCGATTGCCAGATTTGCCTTCACTGCCACATCCGTCGGGTTGGCTGTGTACAGTGCAAAATATGTTTTGTTTTGGGGGGAGTGAGAGGATGATCCAAAATTGTGTTCCAACTGCTGGGAGTGCTAGAGGGTTGCAAGCTCATCCATTTTGTGACCAGGTGTAAACACATTCAAGATCCGTTTCCCCGATACAATTGGGTTACACGCTGACCGTGCGCATTGGGATACTACCCCAACTTGATGCACGCTCTTTTCACGTCAGAGGAAACTACTGCACCGTCCCCATTGGAAGCATCCAACAAATGTGACCACATATTAACATGTTCTGACTAGACGCATTAAACTTCAGAGAATGAGGGTTGTGCTTGTTTATGTGCAAGCGATGAACAGTATGCCAGTGTTAACTGGACGTCATACAGGACCAGCTAGAGCAGTGTCAGAAAAAAGTAGTTGAACACATCTGCGTGAATGACTTACAGCAGACAGGAGATCGATGGCTCGTGGACAGGATACTCAACTACACGAGCAACAACACAATAACAGCGCTGTGGCAACAGTCTTAGTAAATAGCTGGTACATTGGCTATCAAAGGCGCTCATTTGAGTGAGCAAAGTGCATTGCCTGGCACGGCATGGCTTGCCTAGTATTGACGGCTCTCCTACAACCACGCGAAACTCAACAACGAGGCTTTAATGTCCTTGCAAATGGACAAAAGTGAGATGTGTTCGCCGATTCAAATGTTGTTCCATGTGGAAAACACACAGAAGATGCAAGGTTGGTAATAGCAACAATGGCAAAGGTGACTGAAGAATGTTTTAAATCTGTGCTTATTACCTGCTATGACAGATAGATCATCAAATACAGACACTGAAGAAATACAACATAATCCCAGAAGTACACAAGGCATAGAGAGATACGTGCTTGGAATTAAAATTTTAAACTACAAACTAAACTATTTTTCATTTTACCAGGTAAGGCCCACTAAACTACTTAGCTTTTTTCAGAAGACACAATTGATAGGTCAACGAAGTGGCTTATTATGTGGAAATGTATAGCAGCCAAGTAGTCTAAATGCACGTAGATTCTAAATGTGGAGGGGAAAAACTGCAAGACCTGGAGAAAAATCGACACGACCTAGGGGAGAATATGCAAACTCCAAATATACAGGTGTCAGGGTCGGGATCGACATCTCGCCACCGTGGCGCCCAAATTGCACTGACAGAAAGATTAAATTGTGCATCCGAGAATAGACACAGGTTAGAGACTTCTTTTTCACTGTGAACGAAAGTGGGCTTGGAGAGGACACACCGCCAATGAACGAGAATGGTAACAGAACAGCAGCTCATAGAACACACATCTGAGAATAGACCAACGACTAAATGCAGTGGCATTTGCTTATGTTGGCATCGTAACACCTGTGGTGCATGGGGAGGTCATTAGCCAGCAGTGAATAGCCAATAGCCGATGAATAAAATATTACTTTTTATTAAGTAAACGTCAAGACTCTGGTAATCTCCATGTGTTATATGTCCTAATTGCTTAAATCCTTAAAAAACATTTATCCTGTGCACCAGGAATAGACTTTTGGCACAAATCACAACTCCAAATATAGGTTATCTGAATGTCGACGACTCTCATGTGTTCATGTCATGATAACTTTCGAAAGCCACTGCAGCCAGCAAGTTCAGTCTGGCCTGTTTGTTCTGTGGGTAATCATTATTTATACTGCATTCAAAAGCAGGATATTTAACTGAAGCCGTCATGACCCGACCAGAATCAAGCTTCCTACCACGACGACAAGTCACAAAGGCCAATAAGACAACTCTTTTAGAGAGGGTGTCACCGACTGCAATTGAGAACCATTGTACTGAAAGGACCCTCACGAAGCAGAGATGTATCGATTGGGCAGGGCTACAGCTGCGCTATTTTCCAATTAACAACATCCAGAGAAGGCCTGAGTAGCAGAGCGAGGGTTAACAGGAGAGGCAAATAAACAGGGCACTTCCTTCTTCTGCTCCCAATGATCCACTCCACCATGGTGCACGCTGGACTAGCACTCCTTTTTGTGACTTACTTCAGTGGTTCTGCATTATTTGACAAAACATTTTTTTATCGTGTTAAACACATGACTTAAAAAATATATGTACAACAATAAATGATAACAGCCTCATGACGAAGAAGTGGATGCAGGATCAATTATCTTTCGAATTTACAACCGGTGCAATGGTCGTAGTATTTATCCAGAAACCAAAAAATGCCCGCAGCACATACTGTATGTCTAAGGCAATACAAAATAAAGTTTAAAACCCAGTTGTTCGTAATAAGACCTCAACAATTTATCTCAAACTTTTGCTCCAATTTCTGCAACTACAAAACATTTTAACTTTATGGCGGTACCCCGGCTCTCGCATAATGTCCGCGATGCAGTCATTTTTAGTCTATTGATGGTTGGCGATGCGGCAATCGACTCATCTCGACGAGCTGTACACGATGCACCACCACGGTGCGTTCGTGCGTGCAGGGTTTCAGCGCAATCGTCCTCGCTGCGTTTCGATATCGCGGAGTAGCACTGATTTCGGATCGATTGGTACCCGAGTTGCGGAGTTAAGTACACCCCTGGAAAAAATTGTGTCCCAGAAATAAAATATTTAATTGCCTCGGCCATTTTGTATCATTTGGTACCCCGGGGTACCGCCATAAGGATCATTTAAGAACCCCATTAATATGTAAAATGACAAACCTATATATTACAGTGGAAAGCTTTAATTCATGACTATTATAATTTGCCTTTCGTTTAATGTATCTTCCTGTAAATACAATAACGGTCTTTCCTTCTGGACTGCATAAAGTGCAATGGCCCTGTGTTTTGGTATCATCACATTTATCTTAAAACATCCCTGAAAGTCCACTTAAGTCTTCACTCATCAGTACAGAACAAAGTTTAACCAATTCATTCTTTCCACCGACTTTCTTGGGAACTTAAATTTCTCCATATGTGAAGCAACTTTATTTGAACCATGTTGACCCATCTATTTCTCAGACAAGCCTTTTACAGAATTCCAAAATTGAGATATGCAAACACTAATCTTGCATGCTATGAACTATTAGACGCCAAGCGGGGAATTATTTGTATGTCCACAAGGCACGAGCTCAAATCTTCCTGCTCTGAACACCGCGTTGTGTCTGTTGCCCATCGGCTCTCACTTCCCCATGCTGTTGAAAACCCTGGATATGCAAGGAATGCCCTCAGGGGGCGAGCGGCCAGTCACATTGCCACCGACGCAGCAGAGGGACCAGCGACAAGTAAATGCACATATATGGGCTCGGGCCCACACGCAATTTAAGCCCTTGTCATTCAGAGCCGTCTGCGGGTTGCAGGGTGCGCCCTGTTCACCGCCGAATCTTTGAACGTGCAAGCGGCGCAGCGTTAATTTTACTTAGAGGCGTAGCGCCGTTGTTTTTTAAAGACATTGTACTTACCGCAGAGAACTGTAGCGACACGGCCGCACTTAACAATAGCTGGTGCAAAACTGTGCCACACGCCCTCCCCCCATGGCCTTGTGGGAGCCTCGTTACGTCTTCCGATCTGAAGATGTACCCCGATAATGACATTTTCTTCCGATTCCGTTTGTACACGTTCGAATTCAATCGTACGTGTACGAACAGAAGAAAAACTGATGCCGTACAAGCAAAGCCAATTTTACACAGCACCCTCGTGCGTGCGAGAACAGGAGGCTTGCTTCTGCGAGTGGTTTACTGGCCCCTCGACGCTCGGCTCAGTGTCGCACAGAGCGGGCGAGGTCACTGCTCTCCATTGGGGGGGTCGCGGGCTTTCTCGAGTGAGGCCAACTCATTCTTCAGGCTGCTCACGCGAGCCTGCAGCTCCTTGTGGCGTGCAGCCATGATAACCACCTCATCCCAGGCTTCCTGCACACACTTGAAGCTTTGGTTCCAACGCAGGAACACACCTAGGGTGGAGATGCGGCACATCGCACAAAAAGGACGGGGAGGAAGAGGACACTTCGCACCATTGTATGTACGGCCAGTTACCAAAATCAACCATTTCATTAATCATCGATTACTTTAGCGCCATTTGGACCACATAGGTCCTGTCCAGCTTAGCACAGTAGGATTAAGCCCTGACAAGCATGGAATAGAGGAGTGTGATAAAATACCAAATTGGAAATGTATTCACAAATTCCGAATCACTTTCATGGGTAAAACCACGTAGCAACATTGTCCCCCTACCGCCAGACTATGTCCTTTGTTGTAGCATTGTGCTCTAAGAATGGCATGGATTCAAACATTATTAAATTATTATTTAAAAACACAACATTCAATTTTATCTAGAGCGCATGTACCGTGCGCTGTATATATTGTCGCAGCATTCACAACTGGTGCTCATTAAATGTAGAAAAGAGCCACATCGTCTCTCTTAGATTGACAGTATGAATACACGAGAGGGGGAGGAAAGGTGTTTGACTGGAGATATATTTGTTTACCTTCCCAGAGCACCAGGCTCTGCGGCGCGACTGACGGCCAAATGGCCAGGTTGTTGGGCTCGTACAGCGGGTTGAGGTACTGCTCCATCACCTCCGGCCTGTTCACCCACGACCACATTGACACTGTCTTTTGCTGCACCTTCATCTTCATTCTCTCGAGCTCACTGTTGCACAGGAAGGTGCCAAACTGAGAGGCGTAGGCGTGCTCAAACAGGAGGACGAGGAAACGCTCGCCAAACTCGAAGGAGCACGGGAACTGCCGTTGGATTTGTTGGCAGCAGTCGAGGAACAGCAGGAAGGAGGGCGCCTCCTGCCGTGGCTTGACGTTGGCGAATGCGGAGCGGCTGCACCTCTCCTGGAAAGGGTGGCCTGCCTGTCGTGGGGGTTGGGAGAGAGAGAGATTTACGCGGCTCGAGCACCAATTAGCCAACAATTAGTGAACTAGAAGCGGTGCAGCCCTGCGGTCGCTTGCTCACGCCACTGCTGGCACGCAAAGGACCTCCCCCACTACAGCAAGGTCTGTTTTGGAGAGTATTTGGCCTACTGTTTCACGCTGGCCAGACATGTCAGACGAGGGTGTGAGTACCCTTACTCTACTCGACCTCACGCGACCTGCCGATTGTTTTTACTGCGGTCACTGGCGGAGTGGGGGGGGGGGTGGCACGTGCCCCCCCATGATCCGATCAAAATCCCTAATTTAGATCGGATCATTGGGGTTTATTAGTAATAAATCGGCATTTTGCGACCCCCACTGCCACTGTGTAGCATATAATTACATGCCAGGGACTCTATGAGATGATAGGACAATAGTCTGAGTCCATAATTGGCAATAAGTAACGGCAAAGCAGGTATAAGTGACTCACAGAATTGTGCGCAGTTGCGTATACAGTACACGACTTCCCTGAAGGCATTCACCTTCAGCGAGCGCTATGCCGATCACACCACGGTTCGAATTTGACCCTCGATCAATGGCTGCGCCATTGCCACACATGCGTCAAATAAAAAGCAAGGGACAAGTCCTTACTTACTAACAACTCCTCTATCGTTTTTAATTGCTGGAGGGATTGCCCCCCCTACCTGAAAACCCTGGCTCCGCCATTGACTGCGGTGCAAACATATATACTGCTGGGCAGGCAGAGGTCGGGGGGGTATGTAAGAAAACTGCATTATTGTTTCAATGCTCAACCCTCCAAGAACCCGTCTGAAATCCCAGAAACCAATGTGGGATCATGCAAGACAATTGGATGACGCGGGGTCAACTGAAGACTGCTAGTGAACACTATGGAGTTCTGCAGAGGTTTCAAATCAAAGCCTCATCGACCACGCCACCATCGCGCCGCATGCTTTGATCTTCCAAGGGAACTATGGTGCTCCAACCGCTTCAGAACATCAACTGGTCGCAGCGCACACACCTCTCCTCCACAAGTGGAGAATTAAAGACAACCTATAAGTGTGACTGCGGCCACCCAAACAACTGCATCCTACTCTCCCGCGTTCTCCGCCCGACTGAGCAACATTAGTCGCCCAACTCTTGAAGCTGTCGCATGCCTTCATAGACTTATAACTTGGACGTGTGATTTGCACATGTTTGCCGCACGCTAGAGATTGTTTTCAATGGAAGTGTTAGGAGATCGCGTTGAACCGGTGACCTCTAGATTGCAAGACCAGTGTGCTACCGATTACACCACAGCAGCATCAAGATGAATTCAAATGTTTAAACATACATAGTTAATGCTATGTCCATATGTGCGCATGAAAACTATGTAACTAAAATCCGAGATGCTTTTGATTATTCATAACAAAACATTTTTTAAGGTACCTTCGAAATGACGTTTTCGTGCAAATGCAGTAAGTGCTGACTGCTGCTTTGTTATATAAACTGTCTCTTCTGTTGCTTGTGTGTGCGCAACTCAATACAGAAATCAATCTGACAACATGAGCACACGATACAACTCGACACAATGGATACCTAACACAAGGCAGACTTGCAGACCATCCCTGTGACATTCTCCTGCTTGGCCTTCCTACATTAAATATTCAATACACAATTTGCGGAAATGGGCTCTGCACATCATCCAAATGCACTCATCCTTTCTCCAAACAAATAAATCTGTATGGAGAAAATTATATTTCTATCTCCTGTCACTGTTCTGAATGGGTTTCCCCCAGGTATTCCAGTTTCCTCCCATTGCCAAAAACGCACACACAGAACTTGGCCATACATCCCTATGCAGTCTTCAGACTGTGTGGCTTTCCTGGGTAAGTGATTATTGTATTATTTTCACAATATCACTGCAAACCAGAAATACTCCTGCGCACGTGCGTGGTTAACGCACGTCAGGGTGGGGAATCGACTCAGTACCTGCAGCCACTCGCGCTCCACAAGCGCCTGGAAGCCACGCAGGGTGCGGCAGTCCTGATCGAGGATCACTTGGGCCAGGGCGCTGACTTGTAGAGTGGAGTCTGTGCCATCGGAGCCGTGCACCAACACAGAGGCACCCTCCCTGGTACGTGCACCAAAAAAAAGCAGCCCACAATCGTCAGATCACAGGAAAGAATTCAGGAAAATGTTGATTTATTTTTGTCCCCCAGGTAAGGCCCACTGAGCTATATAGTTAATTTTCAGAAGCAACCTGGCCACAAATCGTAGCTCAACTAAGTGGCTAATCATGTGGAAATTTATAGCAGCCAAATTCTTGGAACACACGTTTCTAAATGGAGGGAAAAACCAGAGGAGCAGGTGACAGACCTGTGTTGTATAACAAGACCTCTTTTATAAGTGCGACTCGAGTAGAAGAAATAATAGTAATATTCAATTAATTTATACAGAATACAGTACATTCGCCGAGCTTCAATACTTTTTCGTGTGGGTCCTGCCGTGACACGTTTGTACCAATCCAACTTCAATGTGTTGCATGTCAGCGAATAACATTCAAACACCCACACCGACTAGTTCACAACCCACTCTTCTCTGCATTGCCAACCCATGGCTTTCTCACAGCGCAGCAGGGCTTTGGGAGCTTTGTAAACCTGCACGAACCATCAACAAATGCCAAAATATTAATTGATTGCACGTGTGCATCATCATGTCCATCCCAAATCCTTTAGACAGCCATACAGCCTCTTCTGAGAGATAAATTTGTATTTAAGCATTGTAATAAAATAAAAAGCACATAAGTATGCTATTAATACCAAACAAATATACTGATAAATGCAAGCACTTTAAGTAGGTGTCAGTGATAAATCAAAGTCTGTATGTACATGTACGATCGGTTTTACAAAATATTCTCACGTAGAAATATTGCCAAAATGACTTCTATAAACACAGCAGATTAAAGTAGGTATGCTACTGACACATTTGACAGAGTTGTGCAGTGTTTTTTTTTACAAACACATTTTTCAGCAAATTGCGAGGAAAAAAAATATTCGGAAATAGTATCACGTGATCAATGGTGATGTCTAAAATGTTTTTTAAGGAAAATCTTTTTGGTAATTTACTTTAACCTGAATGACAACCTCACATTCATCAATAACACTGCCTTAGAGGAGAAGTATACAACAGGTGGCAGTTGAGCTATGCAGAATGGTCATTACCAGAAACATCATCTAGGATATACTTTTCATTTTAAGGCAGTATGCTTACCAAATGTGTTGAGTTTGTGTGACATGTGCACTACTGCACAACACAGTATCACCAAATACATTTGTTTACAATGAACGGTTAATGAATGCTGCCTACATTTTAGCAAAGCAAATCAATGAGACAAGAAATCTGCCCGTTTTTCTAGTAATCACACAATGCCCCCTGCTGTACAGAACGTAAAATGCTCTAAATGCGATCATGTTATGGTGACGTGGATTACACCCATTCCCATATAATTTGCTTCCATAACACTGAGCAATTATCTATTTTTTCAGAAGCGACCTGGCCAACAGATGATAGCTCAACAAAGTGGCTTACCATCATGCGGAAATTTAAAGCAGCCAAATACTCTAAACGCGTGATGTTCATTCTAAATGTGGAGGGGAAAAACCTAAGGGACCCGGAGAAAAATCCACGCTACCACGAGGAGAGGAGAGCGGCAGCCGAGGCATCATGGAATGCATCCGACAGGATGGCACCACCTGGGAGATGGAGCAATGAAATCGGGTCGTTGTGCATGGGGCTGGCTGGCTTTGACACGAGGTGTGCCTCGCTTGGTATATTGGTCATGGATTCGATCTCGACCCTGACGATGCCTGCTGCTGTATGTTTGGAGTTTGCATGTACATGGGGACTCTTGAAGGGATATAGAGGCCCAAAATAAGGACATAGGAGAGCAGGGAATGGCACGAGAAAGTCAAAGGGTCCTGCCAAATGGTGGCGTTTAAATCTGTTGAGAAATACCCCGTGTAAAATGTAGAGAGTTGGACGGCTTATAATGAAAATATATTTTGTGTACATTAATTCAATAACATCTGTTTCCTATGTTGGCCCCATGTCAAATAAAATGGTATACTTCTGTATACCATTCACGTAACATACATGAATTGCTACGAGCAATTCAGCCACTTGAAAACAGACATACCCAAGATACTTTTTACAACTCGGCATGTAATGATTCTCCAATTTAAAGTGATTGTTATGCGCATGACATATACACTCAATTGCTTCTATAAGAATTAGTGAACAATGTATGTAAATTGTGCCATTTGGCTTACGTAACAATACAGAACAATCGAAACATGACAAACGCGACACCACAAATCAGCGAAAGGTGCACCTCCGATCTGCACGGTTGGCTATGTATGGTGCGAAATAAGTTCTACACATATACATACATACAAGGATAATATAATTCTTGAATACATTCCTTATCGCCCAGTGACAACACTGGCCGAGGTACATCGCACTAAAAAACACACACATCGACGCTCTCAATCACTCCAGGCTTTATCAGTACAAATTGTATTATATCAAGCACCTGTCAAGACACTGTGCCGCCAAACAGGCAGGTGGTGAGGATGTCTTTGATGTGGCCAAGCCAGTTTGACGCCTCCAGTTTGCTGAGCCAGCGGTCCATGTTATGCGAGGGATCATTGCAGGCCTCCACAAGTTTGATGAAACTGTCCTGCATAAGATTGCACCTGACAGGCAGTAACAACAACAGAACATTGTCGATCAAAGTTAAATCATTCCAATTTTGAATTCTCACGTGAAAGCCAACCCTAAAGCACATTCAATATTTCTGAAAAGTTTTACGACCTTTTTCAATATTTAATTCTGAATAATGGTAAGATTGTGCAGCAGAATAGCGACTATGTGATATCCCCAAATGCACACGTTCAATGCATTCCAATTTTGACCACTGACAAATTGCGGTGACCCAGTGTTCTAGCAAAAAAACATTAAGATAAAACGGCTGCACTTCCCATCCGTAAAAATTAAATAAGATAACGTTGTGCACGAGTCTTAATGTTTTCCGCTTAAAATATATTAAAGTTGCTAAGTAATTGTATTGTCTATATATATATACAAGCAGGTATGTTATAAACACTTATAAATAATTTCACATTCCTTGTGCAGTGTTTTTCATCTGAAAAAGTTTTGCTAGCTGGACTCATTCTTGCCTGGCTGGATTACTGACTGGCTGGATTTCTGGAGCACGGTCAAGTGTACGTGTATGGGGGTGAGGTACCGTGCACATCTGCGTGGGCACGTCACCCACATCCCACGGTGTTGAGCCAGGTTCGTGCGTCGTGCTGACGTCATGCCTACCCGGCAACTACCTACCCCTCCACCCCGGCCATTTTTCCCGTGCAAATGCAATCGTCGAGAGGGAGATGATAGAGGGAGGAAGAGACAAAGAGGAGAGGGGGCAGGGAGAGAGTGAAACGGCGTTTCAAAATAGAGAGGAAAGAAATAGAGAGCAAAACGAAGAGAAGAGTAAGGGTAAGCGACACGCAGCCAAAGCTTAGGGAGAGGCAAGAGAGATTGAGATGGGAGAGGTAGAGTTGGGAATAAGGAGAGCAAGGTTGAGAGGTGAAAGACAGAAATATAGAGAGATATGGGGTGGAAGGTGGGTGAGGTACAGCGGAAGGAGGAGAGGAATCTAGAGGGAGAGCGGGGAAACAGGAAGAGAGAAACAGATTTTAACTGGAGACAGAGTGAGTACTCGACAAAATTAGGAGATACAGCACAGAGAAGGCAAGAGGAAGGCGGAGAGAGACAGGGCTCTATATATGATTAACCTACAAGTTTTTCTAGCTGGGAGGGATGGATGGTCACATCCAAAATATGTAATCTGTTGCTCGTTATCATACAAAAACAAATCTAAATCTGTTTATAAAGGTCAGAATTTTTTTTTTGCTTTATTGCAGAATATCTTACCAAACATTTCATGTACATGTTTGTTTAATCGGCCGCCTTTTTTCCCCCAGTACTACTGATATTGATAAGTAGTACTCGTGATACTGATAAGTAGTACAACTGATACTGATAAGTAGTACTGGTCCTAATGTGACGATCTGAATCGATCCTGGGCCTACCCTGAGATGATTCACTTTGTTTCCCCAGTACGACCTGCTCTTAGTGTCTCTGAGTCAGTCACTACACTAGTAATTAGTACTAATGGGAATCACCACAGATATTAGACGAGGCCGGGGAATTAAACTCAGGCCGCCATGGTCGTAGTGCAGCGTGTTAACCACCACGCCACCAGCCCCCCCTCCCTCCCCAGACAACAGAGAAAAGAGGCACGTGTGTGTGTGTGCACTGTCTGACCTCTCAATGGACTTGTTGATGCGACGCCACTGTGGGTAGTGTGCCTCAGGCTCATAGCCGCCCCCCTTGGCACGGGCCTGCTGGGCGATGTGCAGGGAGCGCGTATCGATGATGTAGCCACGCTTGCCGGGCCCCAGCACGGCGTTCACCAGCTTCTCGTCGTCTTTGCAGCGCTTCCCACCCGAGCCCGTCAGTGGCTGGCTGCAGCGCATCATTACCTGCGGCCGGTTTGCGTAACGAAGCGCGTTTTGTAAACAGTGACCTTTGTGAAGGTCTTGTTAAGTGCCCACTGTGCGGGATATGCATCTTAATGCAATCCATTACAGAGAAAAGCCTCTTAATCACCCTACCATTTTCTGATTTTTTTTTTATTATCAATGGTTATTTTAACATGTAGGCTTTCGCGACCAATGTTATTCATAATCAACGTTTTTGGGTTTAGATCGCGTTATTTATAAATCTGTCGTAACCCTCCACCACCCGACACGGCCAATCAGTAAAAAAGTGTCACGTTGACAAAAGACAAATAGTTCACTGCTTTAGCCCACCGGTGTGTTGAAGCCAATTGTAAATATAGTGGCTTCAACACACCGGTGGGCTAAAGCAGTGAACTATTTGTCTTTTGTCAACGTGACACTTTTTTACTGATTGGCCGTGTCGGGTGGTGGAGGGTTACGACACATTTATAAATAACGCGATCTAAACCCAAAAACGTTGATTATGAATCGATGGATATGTTTGGATATTTTTAAAAAGGAGTACCTCTCAAGTGGCAGCAGATCCTTCAGCACCTACCCCCTTCAACAACCTCAAACATGCTATACAATGCCGCTGCTAGACTTAACACGCACAACACATGACCACATCACCCTATCACTCCGATTCCTCCACCAGCTCCCAATCCCAGATTATATTCAACATTGCAATCGCAAACTTACAAATTCTCCACAGCCTCACCGTCTAATGCTCTCATCTCACTTTACTCCCTTCTGTCCACTTGCCACTCCAGCAAGCAAGGCCTTCATTAAAAACCTCCATTCAAAAGTGGGGGGAAATTCATCCTATTACCTACATATTTCCACGGATGGTCGACCGTCTAAGAGTAATTTCTTGTAACCAATAGCACCCTCAACATCAATTCCAAGTTTATTTGCTTAACCACGTAAGGACTCAAGAAATGAAAATAGTCTCATGTTCAAGCATGATGTGGGTCACCACATGGCAACATAGATCCGACGGACATACGAGCATGTAAACATGGATCTATATAAAACATAAATCACATGAAAAAATAAATTCAGATTACAGACTCTGAGATGCAATATATTCTTTACAAAGGGAACCTCAGATACGTGACAGGACTCAAACCCAGTCAGGACCCCTGCATGGAAGCACCATTCATGGACAGAGCAAAGTGTCTGCTTCGAAATGTGTCCAAGCTTAACGTAAGTATATATTTTGGAATGCAATATAATCTGTATTTCACAGTAATCCGAGCCATGCCAAGGCATGCATTGCTTATGATGGACTGTTTGTATGCTGCCCATACCGAGTGAGCTGCTGAAATGCGTTTGCATGTTGGTGCTTGCAGAAGAAACCCAAAGAGGCAATGATGTTTAACTTGTTTTTTGTTTTTCTTGTAAATTAAGCATACAAGTAAGCTTTACTGCATGAACTAGAGTGACATGCGACATTCAGATATATCGTTAAAGCGTGAATGCATTCTGAATAAAAATTAGTCCCTCCGTTTATCACCCTGCACATCTCCCACTGGCATGCGTAGAAAAAGAGACCAAAAAAGAAACAAGGCGAGCAATGCAGCACACAACTGGGCCTTTGTGCCATTGACTCGTTGGTACACAGGCTGTGAAAAAACCCATAATTCTGAAGCAGTAATCTCCAGCGATAGTAATCGATGTTCTAAGAGATGCGACATTTGTCAAGCGACTGACAAAAAGGAATAACCATCAGCGGTCGTGGTCTATCCACTGCTGGATGAAGATTTCTATACTCCGTCACCATAATCCATCTCATTCATGCAAGAGCTAATCTCATCCCTCCGTCTCTGTGGCAATCAGCCTCTGGGACGTTTTACTTCTTTGGCTGTCATTCCATTACCCGATGGGTCAGGCCCAAGTTCACTTTAGCTTTTAAGGGTCAATATAATGTCACAAACTTGTATTTGTTCTAAGATTAATGTGTTTCTCTCTCTGTGTCTCAGTATAATTCCACATCTGCACCTCTCCAAGCTCTCAGCTTTTGCACCACTTTCTTTGTCACCGTAAATGCTTCCGAGCAACATCATTGCAGGTAACATGTAGTGAATAAAACATCTTTCTTCTTCAAGCACACTGGTAAGTTAATTTTCATTTTCCGATTCAGTTTTACAAAAGGATGCCATCCTGTTCTTGTTTGCATTTGAGTTAACATTTTGATCCTGATCTGCCTTCAATAGCTACTTTGATCAGAATCGAGGTACTCAGCGGTGACCGCCGGACCCACGCGGCAACTTCAGAAGTCCATCTCATTCAATAAGTTACAATGCCCGCAGCTGTTTTGTTGGTAGGAAAAGTAACTTTGCACAGGAATGAAAGAAAAGGCACCAAGTGGGGCTTTTTATGTGTGGCAGCGAGGTGCGACGCACCATGCCATTGGTCTTGTGGTAGTAGCTGAGCACAGGGAATCGGCCGTTCTGCCGGAAGGCAGAGACCTTCTTGACCATCTCGTCGTCGATGGCCTTGGGGATGATGACAACCGGTGGGTAGGACGGACACACCGTGAAGTCCTTATTCACGTGACTCAGGCGCCAGTCGGCCGTCTGTGGAGCACATGAAAGTTTGTTTTTTTTACTTTACGTTTAGAGTGAATTTACAAGGTCTGAATACAGACGCACACACAAGCCTATTACATATTGTATTAAAACATTTTTTGACAATCTTGATTTGATAGATTGTGACCGAGGTAAATTCTAACATTGTTCTAGGACTATAAAAAAAATTGGAATATAAGCACGTTTATGCTTATGGATATAAAAAAAAATGTATCTGGGTTCCCAACATATATCGGAGGTTCATTGGTTTGACTCAGAGAGGGTCAGCCTAAAGTTCTATATCGCTTTAAATCTTGAACACCTTCAAGTTTAGATCTGGGCTTGGGAGAAGAGATTTGGATATAAACTATTATCAGGTGTGCGATTGAAACTATGAAACATTTTTTTATATTTTACCAGAAAAGGCCTAATGAGCTATACAGCTCTATTTTAGAAGTGACCTGACCACAAATGATAGCTCAACGAAGTAGCTTATCATGTGGAAATGTATAGCAGCCAAATACCTTAAACACATGTTTCTAAATGCGAGGGGAAAAAACCAGAGGACTCGGAGAAAAATAAACGCGACCAACGGGGAGAGAGACACGAAAACTCCAAACATACAGCAGGCGTCAAGGGTCTGGTATCAAACCCACGGCCTCATGTATACCAGGCGAGGGAGTTAACATCTCGCCACTGTAGAGCGTCGCCAGCGAGGAAACGTGGAGCTCACGTGCGAGGTGAGGCGTGCAAACTCGTGCTCGGGCAGGAAGGAGTGCCAGCCGTCCTCCAGCGCCTCGAACATAGGGCGGTAGAAGAAGGGGTAGTACAGGTTGACGGCCGCCAGCGTAGACAGCACCTGCACGCAAGTTACAACCAAACGTTTGCCCATTTATTAAAGAGCAGAGCAAGCAGAGCAAAAGTTAAACACGCGTCGATTTTTCACTGTACTCAGCCACTATTACCGCTGAATGAAGGCATTCATACTCCACCACCATCATTCACGGTTTCCTAATGCACCAAACCAACTAGCTTCCATACACGAGCGTGTTCTGCAATGCTTATTGGTGTGCTTTTGTTCCTTTTTCTTTGTCAATGTCTATGTTTCTGATCTCTATGCTATAGCAGGCACTGATGGAAAAACACTTCTTCTTTAGGCGTATAAATATGTTGCATTCCTTGAACTTTAGTTTTCCAAAAGTAATTCAACCTGGTCTCATCCACCATTTCATCAATTCCATCCTGATTTGCTTTCAACAACTGCACCTAACTATATTTAATTGCTTTGCAAACTTGTATGTGATTTTTGCTTTGCTCATTTATCTTAAGCCCCACATTGCATCTATCTTTATCAAGTTCTACTATAATTTCCTGTAGTTTTGTCCCCTCCCATTTAGTTGTTTTTACTTTACATTGGTTCATCTTCTTGGTTCTTTCGGTAAAGTCACGTAGAAGGGAAGTAATTAAATAATAAAAATAAAACATAATAAAACAATTCTCACGACGTTTCGGCCACAACGCAAGCAGCCGTCCTCAGGTGAAAACCAGGTCCGTCGAGGCGACAGAGTCTGAATGAAACAGCACACGAGCTTGGAGCATATATATAAGCTGGGCGCATTGACAAAGGAATTTGCATATCAAAAGGAATTTAGCATATTTATGGGAAATGCAGGAATGTGATTAGTACTGCATATGCATGTGCATTATGCAGGATTAACAGCATCAAAGGGAGCTGCAGTTGCTGCTGCTGCTGCAGTTGCTGCTGCTGCTGCAGTTGCTGCTGCTGCTGCTGCAGTTGCTGCTGCTGCTGTTACTGCTGCTGCTGCACTTGCTGCTGCTGCTGCAGTTGCTGCCTTATCCATTTTAATATAACACTATGTATTATTCTACCCACCCTAATGTGTATCACACTGCTATATGTTTACTATACAATTACGACACCATACATTACTCTGCACACTGCACCATGCCAGTGAGTGGAACGCGGTCTGAAAGTCACCGTAAACGTGAACACAATCAGTTAAGATCCGAAATGGTTTATTACGTCCTTCCAATGATTGCTAAGCCAGAATCCATCTTCTCGGTTGAAATTGTATATGTGGATCGCCTCATGAACGAATCTCTCATGATAGCCAGATGGCTTGCAGATAACCTCTGTCTTGGAGAAGTCAATATCATGTGAGCCCACTGAGTTGTAACAGTGATCTGCCACGGCTGAGGTGTTTGTCCAGCCGTGGCAGATCACTGTTACAACTCAGTGGGCTCACATGATATTGACTTCTCCAAGACAGAGGTTCTCTGCAAGCCATCTGGCTATCATGAGAGATTCGTTCATGAGGCGATCCACATATACAAACACAGAGACAATTTCAACCGAGAAGATGGATTCTGGCTTAGCAATCATTGGAAGGACGTAATAAACCATTTCGGATCTCAACTGATTGTGTTCACGTTTACGGTGACTTTCAGACCGCGTTCCACTCACTGGCATGGTGCAGTGTGCAGAGTAATGTATGGTGTCGTAATTGTATAGTAAACATATAGCAGTGTGATACACATTAGGGTGGGTAGAATAATACATAGTGTTATATTAAAATGGATAAGGCAGCAACTGCAGCAGCAGCAGTAAGTGCAGCAGCAGCAGTAACAGCAGCAGCAGCAACTGCAGCAGCAGCAGCAACTGCAGCAGCAGCAGCAGAAACTGCAGCAGCAGCAGCAACTGCAGCAGCAGCAGCAACTGCAGCTCCCTTTGATGCTGTTAATCCTGCATAATGCACATGCATATGCAGTACTAATCACATTCCTGCATTTCCCATAAATATGCTAAATTCCTTTTGATATGCAAATTCCTTTGTCAATGCGCCCAGCTTATATATATGCTCCAAGCTCGTGTGCTGTTTCATTCAGACTCTGTCGCCTCGACGGACCTGGTTTTCACCTGAGGACGGCTGCTTGCGTTGTGGCCGAAACGTCGTGAGAATTGTTTTATTATGTTTTATTTTTATTATTTTATTACTTCCCTTCTACGTGACTTTACCGAAAGAACCAAGAAGATGAATCCCTGCAGTCACGAAAGCTTTAAATCGAAATTTACATTGGTTGTTAAAACGGCTAGATCATCAATGGATGGCGAATATTTTGTAAACATATCTATGCCTTCAGTTCTCCAATCTAATTTTCATAAAACTTTTACGTAGCTGTGAATAATGTTGGCGAAAATTCATCTTGTCCCAATTCTCTCCATTATCTATTTTGTTACTTTCTTCATGCAATCTCGATCTATATATACGTTGCACTGTTGTAAATTAATGTAATTGTTTCTACATTTGTTTCATTCAGTGGAAATCGATTCAGTCACCCAAGCTCTCACAAACCAAAGCCACGGTATTTGCTACATTACAAAACATAGAGCAGATAACCATAACAAATACCCATCACAGCATTACTGAATAATCGATTAAATACTTTAGAAACAGTTCAACCTGCAACGCAAATATCACGACGTTGGATTACTTCAGAAAAGTGGAAAGTTCAGTTGATGGGAAGAGCACAATTGATGAACAACCTCGGGTTTACATTAACCTAGCCCGTATAAACTCAGCTTTCAATAATTAACAAGTCAACCTAGAATAATGGAGCTTCAGGTTTTCAAGTGAATAAAAAGTGTCATATGCAATTCATACGAGCAGTGGTAGCATGCACGTGTATTCCAGAACTGTGGAGGCGAGGGATGGTGGATTATACAAATGTATTGAATCTCCCTTCCTGTAGGGATCGAGGTACCATACCCTGGCTCGCCATGAAAGGGCAGTGCAGCAAGTGGACAAACCGCCATGGGTTTCCATCTGTATGGGGATAGAGTGTTGACCCCTTGCGCGCGTGGGTTTTTTTCGGGGGTTTAATCCCAGTTGAATGATAAACACTCATCTTTAATTGGCCGAAAACATCTTAAAATAACAAAATGCAGGATAATTCCTAAAAAAAGAGTCCTATGACTCAATGTGGCTTTCATGGATAAGTAAAGTAAATGTACGAAAGTGAACAAATGAGAATATCTGGGCAAACTCATGCATTGCCACTAAGAAATGTAAAAGGCTATTCTTGCATATGTGCTATCCAATCTTATGCTGCCACGGTGTAATGGTTAGCATGCTGGATGAGTAATCCAGAGGTCACCAGTTCAATCCGAACTCCTAGGGTGGCAGTTTAAAGAATAGGGCAAGTTTCTTAAATTCCCACCCACCCACTGCCACCGTCCACCCAGAAGTATGAATGGGTTCACCAGACAGTGATCGGCAAGTACCGTCTGGTGGGGTAAAGTGTGGGAACTCCCACATTTTACAGAATGTATTTGAAAAAGTGGCTCTCTAAAGCATGAGCAAGAAATTGCAGGGCTACACCATTCTGCATTTTACCATCCCATTATGGTTTCAAGGTAAATTGATAAGCTTAACATGTTAATCTCTCATTAACATGCTAATTTTCACCTGGCAGCCCTTTGATTGGTGGAAAACCAACCACCTTCGGGTTGGCTGCCCACCACTTGCATTAACATTGGCTGCTGACATTTGGGCTACGCCCATTTCAAACCCTTATAAACAGTTTGCCTTTGGACGCTAACCCCCCTTTTCCTGAAGACGACCGCCTGTGTTGCGATCGAAACGTCGTGGTTTTTTGTTATTTTCTTTGAACCTATCTACGTGATTTTACCGAAAGACCCAAAGAATATGAATTCCTGCAGTCTCGAAAGCTTTCAGTCAAGATTTTGGGCAATTGTTTTCAGTTGAGTAGGATTAAAAAGCATGGCTTTTAATACAGCTGCCACCTTTCTGCGATGGTGCACAGCTTACTTCAATGGAGCTGGCAATGTTGTGGCACTCTTCCATTCCAGGGATGTGCAGCAGTATGATCCGAAGGTCCTTGCACTTTATTGTCAGAGTCCCTACAGTCCCAGCAAATCTGATGAAGAGGAAATGTACCTTGGGTTAAAGGCAGCACAACAACTAACGTCAACACACTGTGTTTATGCGAATTCTACTCGAACATAGGTTCACGTGAAATTTGTATTACCTAACCCAATTGCACGTTTAAGTTAAGGTGGCAATGTTAATCCGTGGGATAGTCAAATCTAGAAGTTATTTCCTCCTCAAATGAACATTGAGGGAGGGAGTGCTCATTTGAGGTGGAAATTCCACTTTCCTATATTTTGTACATAAATAATAGTAATAAACACTAGGGGAAAAATATTAATCCAATTATTGTTTTAATCTAAACAGAGGTGAAATAATATATTCCTTGGGAACGTTCAACACAATGTAACCATCTATTATATGATCAATGCTACATGTGTAAACAACCCTGAGTGGAGTGAAGCGGTGGTCAATTGGTTAGCGTACTGCGGTTTGATCTTAGCGACACGAGGCTTATGCCCGGAGGCAAGTCATATTTGAACCAATCTGTGCTACCCCCTGCACCAACTGACACTCAGCAGCATGGTGAAGTATTGTCAAATAACCCCCATGGTGGACATGGTGTGGCGGAGGCCTTCATGCAAAGACTGTTAATTATTAATATTTTGTTAATCAATATGTACAATACTGGCATGCAGAGACTGGATAGCGCTCTGCTTTATATACTTTCATACGCAAGAATAGCCTTTAACAAATTTTCGTATGGCAATGCACGAGTTTGCCCAGATTTTCTCATTTGTTCACTTTCGTACCTGTTCTTTTCAGTGACGTTTAATAGGTGCACATAGGAAACCCTAAAACAAAGATTCTTTGTTCCAGTTCAATTATCTTCTTGGTTATTGTGGTTAAAGTGGGTTGACCCATTTGGTCAGCTAATTGGGCTCATTAATTTACAGTCTTATGTACATAGAACATTACTGGCATGCAGTGTGATGAGCACACTGCTCGATAAACTTGGCGATATGAGTTCAATGCCCGGCCACAGCTACTATCAGTGACGAGCAGTGTCTTATTGGGCAGTGAGCACTCTCCTTCACCGATATGCACTGATCAGCATATTGAAGTCAGGTCAAACAACCTCCTAAACCGACACACTGGGGAGAGGCCTTCATCTTGTTGGAGATTAGCAAAGGGATGAAAAATATTACTGAATTAACAGAGAGAAACCAAAATAGTTTTAATCTACCCATTGCAAACAATAACATCATATTTGAATATAATACACATAATTTGTTGTTTTGACCAGTCATGCTTTTTTCCAAAACCTCTTTTAGTAATTAATTGGCTCATTATAGGTCAAGTTCAATTCTGAAAGTTAGAGAGTTTGCATGCAGTTGGTTAGATATATTGTATACCGAGGAAGAGAAGAACTGATAATTCCCACAAAACTAAACAATTCAGCTCAGCGCTTAAAGTATTATTGTTACTTTTGAATAATATTCGAAAAAGATCTGCATAGGACCAGTCCACTATCAACAGGGCAGCGATTTAGTAAGAATTGTTCTATAAAGTATGCAGCTGTTGATTAACCATGAGAGTAAATCATTGCGTACTATGGAGGGTGCAAACTATAATTAAATAAAATCATCATTATTTGAATTTTAAAGACATGCCCATAACAGACACATTACCAACAACGTCTTTGCTATGGCACATCGGATTTAATTAAAATGTAGATAGTAGTTGAAATACAGGGTGTTTCATGTATAGATATCCTACTTATGTAATAGAATTAAATTAAAGAGAAAACGTTGCTTTCCAATTCTCTACATGTCTCGGACTCATTTCAATACCCTTATTAAAACTTTAAACACTCCCCATTCACTTTGTCCAACGTTGCTGGTGTGATGCAATGTGGGGCTTACGTTTTGTTGCATGCATATGATGTTGGATGTACCCCCGCAGGGTTATGTCATGCAATAGCCACACAACTGATCCACCTTGACCAATTGAACGCAAAAATGTATCTTGTAACGGCAATCAAAATAACAATTCGAAATGTGTGAGATGTCTATAAATGGAACACCCTGTACATGCTGCACGCCCACCATAGCACTCCAAATGGGTTACTCTTAAGCAGAACAGAATGGGAGCGGGGATGACAGCAGCTTGAGGCCCACATGGACAAAACACTTGAGTGTCCCCGAGGTGAACACTTCCAAGCATTTTCTCACCAAACCACATATCTTGCATTGCAAAAGTATACTAAAGGGCACAGTGTGCATGACAAATGATTATAGGACACAGAGCAGAAGAGGCAAACCTTTCCTCCTGCAGATCGGTAAACTTGACGACCTGGTTTCCACGGCTCTCAAAGCTACAATACAATCATGGAAGCAACATTTACACGCACGGAAACTTAAATGCAAAACAGGAAGCACAACGCACAAAAAAACGTAACGTTCATTGAGAGTGTGTGATTCTGTGGTGAAGTTAGGGCACAGGGAATGTGTGGATAAGGTAAACAAGTAAGGTAGAGGGTGATACTTTATTGAGGTGTGCAGACTTAAAGGAAACATGGAGTGGAATTAGTAAAATGAGTTAGATTTGAAATCTGAATAAATTTGGTTGAGTGCATAATCGAGGAGGCCATTGGGACGAACAACTTATCTATGGAAGCAACAGAAGGTGGTAAATAAGGGATAGGTGAGAACAGCGAGCTTATGGGAGATAGACAAGGCATCAAGTATGCGAACGAACCGGCCACGTTAAGATGATCAGAATCACGGTCATGGGAAGGAGAGGATGGGGCAGGGACTCGGTCAACTTCCTAGGGCAGGGGCCGGAAACCAAAATAACAAGAAAAGCCATTCTGTAGCGGCAGGTTGCCAACCCCTGCTCATGGTAAACTGGATTTCCATGGTAAACAGCGCTTAAATTGTGAACTGACTTCTCCAGTAAACTGGACTTCCTCGATACACTGGACGCCCGCGGTAAACTGGACTCCCATGGTAAATTGGACTTCCACCGTAAACTGGACTTCCACAGTAAACTGGGCTTTAATGGTAAACTGGACTTCCACTGGTAAACTGAACTCCCAGGGTAAACTGGACTTTAATGGTAAACTGGACTCCCACAGTAAACTGGACTTTAATGGTAAACTGGACTCCCACGGTAAACTGGACTTTAATGGTAAACTGGACTTTAATGGTAAACTGGACTCCCATGGTAAACTGGACTTTAATGGTAAACTGGACTCCCACGGTAAACTGGACTTTAATGTTAAACTAGACTCCCATGGTAAACTGGACTTTAATGGTAAACTGGACTCCCACGGTAAACTGGACTTTAATGGTAAACTGGACTCCCACAGTCAGGAGTCAGCAACCGAAATAACCCGAAAAACATTTTTTTCGAATTCAGAAAAGAAAACTAAATATTTAAAGAGCCGCAAAGCAGTCCTTAAAAGAGCTGCATTCAGCTCTGGCGGCGCATGTTGCCAAATATCATGGCTATGGAATATTCACCGTGCAATATCAACAACAATAATTATTATTTCATGTTACAATCACAATGCCAGCTTTGTTGACAATGAGGTGGTCACGAGACCATTAGGTTGCGTGGCGGGTGTAGATTAGGAGTAGCATGGTTGTGTGAGATACGGCAAACGAAAGAGAAACACATTTGAAAATATATTAGACACTCACACTGCTGCAATACAAAACATTAGTCTTACAAAACGTGAAAACAAGAGTCACGAGTTCAAAGCAAAAGCCCTTTTGCACGCCAACCACAAAGACACAACACAAAAGGTGGCTTTGTTGGGAGATGGCCTTCTCAAGCTCGTCCCTAAAACCTATCACGCCCGGCCGCCTTTGTCTCCCTCGTGGCGATGTTTACACACCACACAAGATACAGTACTCGTGCAAGGAGGCCCAGGACCGCTTCGCATAATTGTCACCCAATGTTTGTTAGCCACGAGTAGCAATCGAACTCGGGTGGCCGGCCAGGTTGTTCGTAGAGCGACACTCACACAAACAACAACAACCACCATTCGCCACACTAAGTAGCGGCACGTTTCGTCCACACACACACACACCACGACACTCACCTCTTCTCCACGGCGTCGATGGAAGACATGAGTAGCCACATCTCCTCGGCGTGTTCCCGACGCGAAGACACGATGAGGTGGTGACCGGTGATACACAGCGTGCCCTCCAGCGGAGCGGCGCAAGGCCGTTCCAGCACCGCTCCCTCCACCTTGGGCGTCTTTATAAGCTCCACGAACTCCATGGAGAGAGAGAGAGAGAACGAGAGAGAGGTAAGAGAGACACGCTACCTACAAACACCCACCCAAACAACACCTCCTCTTCCTGTGTCCGCCTCTGACTGGCAACCCCCACACGCTCTCGCTTCGCTGGGTCGACGAGAGAGAGGTGAAGACGACGGGGTCGGGGGGTCACAAAGCCACAAACACTCGGAGCAGAAGGCAAGCAGGAAGAAGACGGAACGATGATGATGAGGAGGAGGAGGAGGCCCCCAATCCTCCTTGTCGTGCTTGGAGCCGGTTGGGTCGCGTTCGCGTTTTTTTGGGGGCCTGGGGCTTGACTCGGTAGACGTCTTCCGGAAGATGCCGCGCGCTTCGGAATACGGAAGTGACACGTGGGGGTTGAATTCTCCGAGTGAATGAATGGGGGGTGGGGGTGGGGGATATTAATGAATGAATGGGGGTGGGTGGGGGATATTAATGAATGAATGCGTTGATTGATTCACCACACTCAATGACCAGTGTGGTAAAATCACGTAGGTAAAAATAATAATAATATAAATTAAATAATAAATCACGACTTTTCGGAGGCAACACAAGTCTCAAGTGCTGTGACGGTCCCACCTGATGCCTCCGAAACGTCGTGATTTATCATTTTATTTCTATTATTATTTCTATGATTATTTTTTACCTACGTGACTTTACCGAAAAAAACTAAGAGTATGAATCCTTGCAGTCACAAAAGCTTCAAATCTAGAATTAAGTGTGGTAATAAAAATTAACCCGTAAAAACTAAGTTTTTCACTATAAATCCTTTATATGCGTGGCGGCTAGAGTCCTCTCGTCCTCTGGCTTGAGATGGCTGCCACCTATGGGTCAGATGATTGCCTGCCACCATTAAGCAATTGGTAATTAAATATAATTAATTTTTTCCTAAAAAGTGTAAAATTTTGGAAAAAAATTTTCACGAAAATAAATTGTCACGCACAACGAGTCTGTGTGCAAAATGTCAGCTCGATTGGATCACGGGAAGTGGGTTAAAAAACGACCGAAAGATTTGCACGGTCGTAAGCGCGCAAGAAAGCAAGCAAGTGAACTTAATATAAAGGATTTAAGAATAAACATGGCCAAAAACAGTGGTCTGCGGAAACCAAGAATCCTTTGGGCGTCCGTGGTAAACTGGACTTCCATGGTGAACTGGATTTAGAATGCCCTGGTGAATGACAGAATACGGCAAGAAGTGATGAATTAATTAATGAAACAAGTATGTAAAAATGTATTGGGCTGACTGTATTGGTGTGAAACATAGATTCTGTATCTGCAATGCAATAGAGTATGAATTATAGGAAAAAGCAAAACCAGTTTTCTATATTGTGATGTCTTCAGGCGTCTTTATGTTCACGGAGCGGTGGCGCAGTGGTTAGGTCTCTGCAACGATCCTGGTTACATGAGTTAAATTCGCAGCTGCACCTCCGATTAGCACGGTTGGCTACGTATAGTGCGAAATAAGTTGAGCATACATGTACGTGAAAAAATAATGGTGCTGCATCTGATTATTGAAATATTAAACTTAAATATCGATGCCATGTACTGTAGTGCACTGTAGCATAACGCTAGTGATGAACTTGGTAAACAAACGCAACAGAAAAGGGTAACAATAATCTTTAGACTACGTAAACTTCTAGGAGCTTTACAAAAGATCAGAGATGACAACTAAATACAAAGTGCTAATCTTGAAGAAAGAAATTGAACCAACAGTAAAACATGTCATATATGACCTTTTTTGTTAATAGATAATCATTTTCATTTATTAGGTATAACCCTGTGAGCCATGCGGCTCTTGACTCGGGTGCAACCGCAACAAACAAAAACATGAACAAGAAACATCTTAAAGTGACTACACGCAAACAGAAAAATCCAGGAAAAAATAGCAAAGTCTTCCAGAAAAAAACACCGTATTTCAACGCTGTGTGCAAAAATCCCAGTGGGATACAAGTCAAACAATAATAGCCATAAGACAATTTAGATTAAAGTTATCAGGCTAACTCTGTACTACAACAAACAAACATGGCTAAACCAAAACGTTTTCAAAATCACCAAAATATAGCTATAAAAACATTGTAACAGTGATCGACCTCGGCGAGGCCATAGCTGATTCAGACAATCGTCACTGGTCTTTGCCGTGAGCGGGAATCTAACTGGTTGGCCGACTTCGTGGCGAAGTGTGTTCATCACGACACTACCGCTTCCCACATTTACACACTCACGCAAAGACAAATATCCCGCAGGACCTGCAGTTAGCGAGCGCCTGTGAAGGCCAGCACGGCTTGGTGAATGAGTTATTGTGTGTGTGTGAGAGCTGGAGAGGGTGGGTTGGTGGTTTTGTGAGTGATTGATTGGTATAAATACATATTTTGATTAATTATTACGTTGGTATCTGATTTCAATATTTGGAAAACAGAACATGTATTTACATTCGTATTCATGCGTGTTATATATGAAGTGTATTTGTTGGGGTGTGTGTGCACCTTCTACCAATAGTCTGTTCAGAAGGGTGCGCGAGGCGCGTGCGAGTGGTTCGTGTGCTGGGTTCCTCTCTGATTCGTGCACCACGGAGCACGCAGCTATACATGATGAATAAATTTACACGTGGGAAGCAACTTGAAAGTTCTGAATAGAATGTGGTAAGAAATTACTGCAGATGAAAGTTCTGTAAATATATGGAGAGAAGTTTGTGGTGGGTGGGACACGTGTGACGGATGGATGGAGCATGGCAGGTTACTGCGGCAGGCAATTGAGTGGCAATCAGAGGTTGCTGACCACGGGGAGACATTAAACCGAATGGTGGTGGTGATGAGGCTTTTACAGTGATTATTTAGCTCTTGAGCCACTGGCCCAACAATTGCTTATCTGATACCAACCAAATTCTCACTGACTTTTACAGAATTTTATTTCCAAATCACAAATATATATAATAAGTTCACCATGGAAGCGTTTTATGGAAACAGGTCGTTAACAGTGAATAGCATTGAGGCAGGGGGGGCAATGTGACATGAAACATCTAGGAAATGTGACAATAAATGGAAATTGTGTGTATAAAACAGAGAGTACATACGCTAAGCTTTCTGCCCCTGGTGAATACTGCCCATGGTGCATTTTGTCAAGCATTTGTCAAGCTCCTTGGCTCATGGGTGACTTGATGGACTTTTTGTCACCAGAGGCATAAAACTTGATTTGAGAGGCATAACTTGATGGTGAAATACTCATAACGTAGGAGCGATGGCGAGTAGTGATGGCATAAATGGCTTTGGCGTTGTCACGCGAGTATGGCATGATAATAGATCATCCTTGTGCCAACAAAGACTATTAGGCAGTTAGAGGGAGAATCACATGTACAGTACTTCATTTCTCAAAGAACTGTCTATGGGTTTGACCTGCAGATTTCTGTATATAAGATATGCATAATTTCTTGTACTATAGATATTAAACATGAAACAATGCAGTCAGACAAATAAAGTCCCATATATATGCAAGTCTCAATGAATTCTCAACAAAACAATTATGCTTCTGATGTGTACACACAATGTTCAAGCAAGTGTGTTCAAGAGGCTTGCAGCCCAGATTTGAGGTTGCTTATTTTCGGCTAAGTGGTAGAGTGAGTGGCTCACAATGAGAAGAGTTCAAATGCTGGTTGGTGGTTGACTCATCATCCCTCCAGGGTCGATATAACAATTACCACTTTGTTGGGAGGTCAACAGTGATTGTCCTATGGATAGACTCAGCCGCACCATAGAAATTTTGAATTTTCATCACTCTTCCAGGGCTGTCACCAGGAGATGAGTAACGCCTCGATGCTCATTTGAACAGGAAATCATTGTGACATTTCTGAACCACGTTAAGGCCACATTACTTGTTCCCTCTCAACTAGAAGACAAGGGTGCGCCAGAGGCCAGTGTTCCACGCTTGCAGAGTCTACACTTATCTGTGTATGCTCATGCCCGTAGTGATTGTGGGGTGTATTAGATGCATTTGTAATTATCAATTAATGGTTCAACAATTACATAAACATGTTATAATCATAGAATTTACAATGAACAGCCGTGCTCAATTTACTGTTGGAAGGCCTCCCCAAACCACCGCTATCTCTCACTATTCTGTGATGCAACAATCCACCAAGGACATTATTTCTTCACTCCATTTCCTCATTAGATGTGCTATCGGACGCGTTTCATCCATTAGCTGCCACTCCATCGTTATTGTATGTATGTTGAATGTCTTTCGCAGCGTACATAGCCAATCGTGGAAATCGGAGGTGCGTGGGGAGAACAACTAAACACAAAAAGCAGTTCTAGAGAAATTAGTTTTCAATCGAGATTTAAAAGTGCATAGCTCCAGTGGCTTCCTAATCGGAAGGAAGAGTGTACCAAACGAACGCAGAAGCGCATCTGAAAGCACACGATATGGTGACCGTCTTTATTCGATGGCAAGCCCAAAGCCGCTGTGAGAATGACCACAGTTCCCGAATGTGTTATGCTCTTAGATCATAGGCCATCATCCTTTATTGTGGTATGCCCTGCCCAAGCTCACTTTCCTTAATGGTCAATAAACTATTTAAAACTAAGCTATTTTTATTTTATTTTATCAGATAAGGCCCACTGAGATTTTTAAGCTCTTTTCAGAGGCGATCTGGCCACAAATTATAGCTCAACGAAGTGGCTCATCAAGTGGAAATTGATAGCAGCCAAGTACTCTAAACGCATGATTCTAAATGTGGAGGGAAAAAGCGGAGGACCACATAGAGACATGCAAACTCCAAAAATACAGGCGTCAGGGTCGGGATCGAACCTACACGAGGTGAGGTAGTTAACATCTCGCCCTCCGTGGCGCCCTATGATGTGTCTAACTTGTATTTGTTCTCTAATATACGCCTTCCTCTTTCTATGTGCAGTACTTCCAAGCTTGCATCTCACCGTGATTTTTTGCATACGTTTTCAATTTTTCAGTTTCATTTAGTAGGTATAACCCTGTGAGCCATTCGGCTCTTGAATCGGGTGCAACCGCAACAAACAAAAAAACAAAAACATGAACAAGAAACATCTTAAAGTGACTACGTGCAAACAGAAAATCCAAGAAAAGACAGCAAAATATTGCTGCAACCGCAACAAGAAAAAAACATGAACAAGAAACATCTTAAAGTGACTACACGCAACAGAAAAATCCTGGAAAAAACAGCAACGTCTTCCAGAAAAAGCACTATTTCAACGCTGTGCAAAAAATCCCAGTGGGATGCAAGTCAAACAATAACAACCATAAGACAATGTAGATTAAAGTTATCAGGCTAACTCTGCACTACAAAAAAACAAACATGGCTAAACCAAAACGTTTTAAAAATCACCAAAATAAAGCTATAAAAACAATGTAACAGTGATCATAGGAACTGTGATTCAAATTTAACAATAAACGATATACATAGTTCTAGATTTGAAGTTTTCGTGACTGCAAGGATCCATACTCTATGGTTTTTTCGGTCAAGTCACGTGGGTAAAAATAAAATAAATTAAAATGAAAACAAATAAATTAAATCACTTCCGAAAACGTCGTGATTAAATTTATTTGTTTTAATTTTAATTTCTTTTATTTTTTACCTACGTGATATACATAGTTTTAATAGCACGGATCAATTTTCTCCGTCAGTTTCCTTGTTTCTGAAACACATGTTAAAGCAGGTGTAGGGCTGTTACAGAGGGGCTGTTTGTGTAGGGCTGTTTGCATAGGAGCTAACGGATAACAAACACAGTGGGCGGGGACTCCGTGAGCACACGGGGTGGTGCCCGCAACGACGTCCGCACTGGACGGCGTGAGGGGGGTTTCGATCCTCTAGGGGGATATAAAAAGGGATGAGCCAGAGAGCTCGGGGTTGAGTCTTAGAGTAGTTAAGGGAAGACGGAAGACCGGCCAGATAGGCCCTGGACTCCCCCTGGGACGCCGCCCTTGTAAGGGCAGCGCAGGCTGGAGCCAGTGGCGTGGTCCCGGAACCAGAGTTAGTCCTCTGGGATTCCGGGTACCGTAGCCCGACTGACCAGTGTCGGGCCAGACAGCCTCCCCTAGCCGTTAGTGGAGGACTCGGCTAGGAAGGCTAGCTAGAGGTGAACTCCCAGTTATACGGGTGAGGGGGCCGATACATCCCTCCAGTGCTGTACGACATTGTGTAAATAAATACGTGTGTCTTACTACGGTGTCCACGCGTCTTCAAGAGTACTTCACAGGCAAGTTATGCACTGAGCAAAAACTTTCTTCATAAGCCAGCGGTCAGCTCAACTTTCCACGTTCCCCGGACGTGCACAAAAGATGGTTGTGTTGTCATGGGGGGGGGGGGGGGGGTTCGGTTCTACACGATGGGGGAGCAGCAGAGGGCAGTGCACACAAAACAATTGCACTTGCGCGTCTCCTCAAATCAGAATCGTTATACTGGAGGAATCCGATGAGCTACAAAGCGCTTTTTGTCCCCCCCACAAACGTCCAGTAATCTGCGCGAACCGAGGCCCTCATCCAGCAGTGGATCGGACAAAAGGGGACAGTTTAATAAGGGGGCAGCCCTGCCACAAAAGGGGGCAGCCATGCCACAAAAGGGGGCAGCCCTGCCATAAAAGGGGGCAGCCATGCCACAAAAGGGGGCAGCCATGCCACAAAAGGGGGCAGCCCTGCCACAAAAGGGGGCAGCCATGCCACAAAAGGGGGCAGCCCTGCCACAAAAGGGGGCAGCCATGCCACACAAGGGGGCAGCCCTGCCACACAAGGAGGCAGCCCTGCCACACAAGGGGGCAGCCCTGCCACAAAAGGGGGCAGCCATGCCACAAAAGGGGCAGCCATGCCACAAAAGGGGCAGCCATGCCACAAAAGGGGACAGCCATGCCACAAAAGGGGGCAGCCATGCCACAAAAGGGGGCAGCCCTGCCACAAAAGGGGACAGCCATGCCACAAAAGGGGGCAACCATGCCACAAAAGGGGGCAGCCCTGCCACAAAAGGGGGCAGCCATGCCACAAAAGGGGGCAGCCCTGCCACAAAAGGGGGCAGCCATGCCACACAAGGGGGCAGCCCTGCCACACAAGGGGGCAGCCCTGCCACACAAGGGGGCAGCCCTGCCACAAAAGGGGGCAGCCATGCCACAAAAGGGGCAGCCATGCCACAAAAGGGGACAGCCATGCCACAAAAGGGGGCAGCCATGCCACAAAAGGGGGCAGGCCTGCCACAAAAGGGGGCAGCCCTGCCACAAAAGGGGGCAGCCATGCCACACAAGGGGGCAGCCCTGCCACACAAGGGGGCAGCCCTGCCACACAAGGGGGCAGCCCTGCCACAAAAGGGGGCAGCCATGCCACAAAAGGGGACAGCCATGCCACAAAAGGGGGCAGCCATGCCACAAAAGGGGGCAGCCCTGCCACAAAAGGGGGCAGCCATGCCACAAAAGGGGGCAGCCATGCCACAAAAGGGGGCAGCCATGCCACAAAAGGGGACAGCCCTGCCACTAAAGGTGGCAGCCCTGCCACAAAAGGGGGCAGCCCTGCCACAAAAGGGGACAGCCATGCCACAAAAGGGGGCAGCCCTGCCACAAAAGGTGGCAGCCATGCCACAAAAGGGGGCAGCCATGCCACAAAAGGGGGCAGCCCTGCCACAAAAGGGGACAGCCATGCCACAAAAGGGGGCAGCCATGCCACAAAAGGGGCAGCCATGCCACAAAAGGGGGCAGCCATGCCACAAAAGGGGGCAGCCCTGCCACAAAAGGTGGCAGCCCTGCCACAAAAGGGGGCAGCCCTGCCACACAAGGGGGCAGCCCTGCCACACAATGGGGCAGCCCAGCCACACAAGGGGGCAGCCCTGCCACAATGACCCCACCCCCCTGCCCACCTGCGTGAAACACCTTTGTTGTGTGACGTCATCGCCTAACTCGTCAAAGGGGCGGACACCGGCAGAATTCGCGTGAAAATGACGTCATCGCCCATCGCTTCAAGTCGCGATGTCATTCGACCGCGGGGGAACAAAGCGGCGGGTGACGTCACTGCCCAGCCTTTCGCGGTGACGTCATGTCTGCGAGGAGGGGTTGGCGGGGGAGGATTACGTCATCCGTGGCTGGGGGATTGCGTCATCCCGAATGCGCGTGCACTGAAGGGGAATGATGAACAGTAGTGAGCAGAAGGAACTCGTAAGCCGGGTTTGATTCTCGTTATAATTTCTCATTAGCCGTGTTAATGTCCGAGTTAATTGTTTAATTTTTTTTTATTCTTGTGCATCTTATGTTCATTTTTGTGCGTGCGAATTTGTGTGTGTGCAAGCTTTCGTGCGGGATCTTTGTGTCCGTTTTGCGATGTTCAACGCTTCTCTGTGGCGATTTTTGACGCTGCGTTGACCTGGGCGCTTTGATTTATTTTTTCGTATTCCCTCCGTGTGTGGCAAATGTACGGTCAGCGGTTTAAAATTGTTCTAATTATTGCTTTTGTTCGTGAGATGGGGAAAAAATGGGATTAACCCGTTTTTCTGAAGGAAATTGATGATTTCGTGTATTATGCGCTGAATTGGTACTGTATATTGTATGTGTGTAATTGTGGCAGTGTTTGGTAATGTAATGACAAATGCATCATTTGCGTCTTGGTTATGGTTACTGATGGTTTTGGTGATGAGCATGGATCTGATGGAAGTGATGGTAGTGGTAATCATCTTGGTGGTGATGGTTGTGATGGTGATGTTGGTCATTATGGGTGTGACTGTTTTGCTGCTGATGAATGTGATGGGAATTCTGTACTGTCATGCTCATGATCCATTCTAGGTGATGGTGATGATGATTGTAGTGGTGATGGTTTTGCTGATGATTTTGGTGAAGATGGATGCGATGGTAATGATCGAAGCGGTAATGATCTGGGTGATGGTCATGATTGTGGTGATGGATGTGATGGTGATGGCAGTAATTTTTTTTTGTCAGGATGAATGGCGATGTTGGTAGTGGAAATAATCTAGTTAAATTATCTACGCGTTGGTGTGATGATGGTGATGATGGTAATGGTGATAATGTCATTGATGAAGTAGTGAACAGGATGGATGTGATTGTAATTATGGTAGTAAACATGATCTGCTGTTGGTGATGGTGATGATGGGTGGTGGTGATGATGATAGTGGTAATGGTAATTGGCATGACATATTAATGACTGTAATGGTAAAGACGTAAGTGATGGTGATGATTTTGGGCCTGAAAATAGTTAACGGGATAAGTCAGATTGTAATGGTAGTTGTCTTGGTGGCGATGATGATGGTGTGATTGGAATGATAAAAATCGATGTCAGATGGTGGTGATGTTGATAGATGTGGTGGTAATGATTTCAGACAGTGCTAGTGATTTTTGTTGTGATACGTGTTGCGATGAAGATGGTGGTGATGGTTGCAATGGCGAAGATCATTATCTATTATAATAGTCTAAGGACGATGATTGTGTTGGTTATCGTATTGGCTAATCTTGATTATGGCTGTGTTGACAGTAGCGTTGATGATGATAACTGTGATAATAAAGTTGACGGTGGTGAATGTGATGATGGTGCTTATGAGGTTGTGGCATTGGCAAGTTGTAGCACTTTTTCCGCTTGTTGCAGACGTTTGTGGTTCAGGCCCAGTTGCCACCCTGGATAACCCTGCATGTATAATGACCGTAAATTAAAAAAATAACCATCCTGTCTGCTTTAAAGTGACCATTAAAGATCCCATAACATTACTCGAAAAATATCGGGACATGGTGCATGCTCCACATTTGTCAAATTTAATTTAAAAAACACTCGAAAATGACTTAATTTGGAGATCACATAGTAACATTGCCCCCTCCTGGCAGCTAATGTCCTCTTGCTGACCAGTGCTGCATTCACCATGTGCCTCACCAGGGGTCCCTTGCCACAGGGCATCCTGAGATGTACTGCATGGCAACTGCAATATAAATATTAAGTGATGTTGATGTTAACACAATTTGTCTGTCCACAGTTCTCTTCAACATCGACCACTTACACTGCTTCTCACCAGGAACCAGAAGCAGCAGAAACACCAGCACCGTACCACCTCCAGTTTTTTTAAGTAGTATCAAAAAGAAACAAAAAAAATGTGAGTGGTGGGTGTGAAGAGAATATGAGCAAAGAAGTCTGTGGCGAGCCATGGCGGCAGAGAGCTGGACTGGGCAGCAGCAAGGGCAGCAGAAGAAGCAACAACAACAACAGCAGCAGTCTCAAGGACAACAGTGGCCCGTGCAGCAGAAAAAGCTTGTGGAAGGAGGCCAGGTGTTGAGCAGGCTGCAGCAGCAACAACAACAGCAGCAGCAGAGAAAGCAGCACTTCCAAGGGCAGCAGTGGTCTGCTCAGCAGAAACTCGTGGAAGGTGGGCAGGTGCTGAGCAGACTGCTACAGAATCAGCAGCAAGGGCAGCAGCAGAGGGCGGGCAGCGTGAGCGTGAGCGCCGAGGGCCGGAGCTCGCTGGCCGTGTGCCGCTGCACAGACTCGCTGTCGTGCTACTGCGGCTGGCGATCGCACTGTTGCCGCCGTTGCTGGGAGCGGCTTGGCCGCTGCAATGTGGCCGCACCAGACTACGCCTGGGTGGCGGGTGCCCTGGCCGTGCTACTCTGGGACGTGGGGACGGACGTGATGCTGGCACTGAGCTACCTGGGCCGCGGTGAGCGTGCCCTGTTTGCGCTCACGCTCGCCTTCGTGCTCGGGCCCTCTCTCGCCGTGCAGGCCCTCAGCTTCCGCTGGTTTGCCAGAGACTTTGGAGCCCGTAGCCGGGCAGCTGTGGCTTCTGCTTCCGCCCTGTCATCGTCTTCGGTTTCGGCCACGGCGGTTTCTGCAGCCTCGGCGACCTCGGCGCTGCGCCCGTGCTGCCGGGCCGGCGTGTGGGCCTGGCAGGGCCTCGTCCACGCTCTGCAACTCGGACAAGCTTGGAGGTAAGGTGTAAGATGTGTGGAGGGGATGTTGATGGTGGTGTAAGGTGATGGTTGTGGTAAGTAAGGTGGATCTTACATCCTATCTTTCTTTATTGTCTATCTTTGTTGTAAAATTGTTGCAATCGAAACGTATTCTATTATTATTTAATTTAATTTATTTCCACGTGACTTTACCGAAAGAACCAAAGAGTAATTCCTGCAGTCACGAAAGCTTCGAATCTAGTTTCATTTTAGGGGTGTTAATGTCGCGTTCATACAGTGCCGGTGAGGGGTCTAGCAGCAGCCTTTTGGATCATATAAAGTTTGTACGTGCGGAATTTGGGGAGGCCGTAGAGGAGAGAGGCATGGATCAGGGTTTTAACAGCAGGTGTTGCAGGTGCTGCGAGAAAGGTGCAGATGTGGGATATGTTGTATAGGTGGAGGTAGAAGGTCCTTCAGAGTTGAAATATATGGGAGGAGAGCTCCGGATTAATGACAACCCCAAGGTTACTTGCAGTTTTTGACAGTGTAATGACACAGCTTAGGAGGTACAATCCCAAACTAGAATTATTACTGAGTGGGCACTTTTTTCTGATGTGGAAAACTTTTGCAACATTTTTCTGGAAAAAAACTTGGAACTAATCCACAATGAGGTTGCATCAAGGCACGATTTGAGATTGGCTATGGAAGTCGAGGAAAATTAGGAGTGAAAGCGATACGTTATCTTCAGAATAAGGTAATTTACCACGTGCCGAAGAATGGTTTCAGTGGAGTGGCCTGGATCATGCAGCTCAAGGAGGGAGAGGTGTTTAGAGAGGTTGGAGAGGATTGCATTTTTTTGGACTTTTCTAAGGAGAGAGATGTTTGAGATCCAAAGATATTAGGGTCCAGTGAAGGGTTTTTCCAGGATGGGGTTAACAACAGCTGTTTTGAGGGCAAGGAGAACAATTTTACCTGTGTATTTCAAAGTGGCTCAGATGGATTTAGATGAATACTCAGCACGTGTATTTAAATCACCAGTAATGATTGGAGATGAGAAGAAACCCCAGACGAAGGTCCGATATTAAAAGAGTCTGATTAGAAGTTTGGGTTTGCTTTTGGTGAATGGTCGACAGTAGGGCGTTTGAGGTTGGTGTTGGGTGGGAGTTTGATACTCAGAAGAGGGGAACTTTGAGCGTTTACTGTTTACCTGGATAACCCCTTGAGATGGAACATCTTGTTTGCAATGTTGTCCAGTGTAGAGATTACAGGAATTGCATCACCTCTGCTGGAGGAGCGAGCCATAGCAGGTGGCTTCAGTAAGTATCCGTGAAAACAGAGGTTGCCAGTCATAACCCTTGCAGGTAATTGTGGATGAGTACTGACTCAGAATTGATTGAGCTGACATTTAGGAGGGTAAAACAAACAGATGGATGGGGTATTTTGAGGAGAAGGCCTTAAGGTGAGGTTCCTGGGGAAAACTGAATCGCGAGCAATTGAATGTGCAGATGGATTAGACGTGTGTGTGCTTGTGATTAGTAATGTGGGTGCTTGTGACTGGTGAGGCTTAGAGATATCATCGGAATCATCGGGCACACCTTGCTGGACATGGATTGTGGGAGGGGGGGTTCACCTTTGCGAAAACAGACTTGATCACTTGTCTGGTCTGTCAACGAGAGTGACATTTTTGGAGTTAGGAGCACCAACAATACTGATCTGAGTACCCCCGCCCCACCCCTCTCTAAAACCATCCTACATAACATCTTATGATGGAAATTTCGTGTTTGACAGTTGATAACATTGTATGCTCCAGGAAGTAGTGTATTTTTGTGTTGAATCCATGACTCGTTTCACATTTCAAGTGTATCACCTCAACAGCTTAATCAGGTAGATGTCACCACATTAACATTATGCAGCAATACACTTTTCTACCTATGTGTATGAAATTGAGTGAAAACCAAACCACGGTCATCTATGGGATAAAATATACTGTATGTGCCATTTTTTTATCAGCAGAAATGCTTATAGTAGTGAATATCAAAGTTTATATATTCGGAAGCAATGTATTATTCCAGTGTCAAGGTCATGAGCTAGTTTCTCACACTAAACAGCCCTGCATTTACATGTTCTAAACAGTTTAACATTTTACCGCATATTTAAACCAGATGATCTGCTTCAATGGTTGGCTTAATAGCTGGTAAATGTGTTTCTCTGAACCAAGAGAATCTAAAATACATATTCCATATATATTTTCATGAGAGGAAGATGTTAATAGAATGGTCTCTTCAGGAGCATATGCAAGCATTTTTTTTTTACAATTTACAAATGTTTGGAGGTGATTGTAATGTGGTCGTGTAGACTGTAATCCGTAAGGCCTTGAAGTGACTCAGTGCTGTAAGTCTTTCATGCGAGGTCCACGATAATTACAATTATGGATTACCCAAAGTTGACCCATAAAGTAGCACCTTCGCTAAATCACGAACGTATTTTAAGTTGTAACATTAAAGTATCATATATTTCAAGTGATGCATTCATATTTTGCATAGTGAACAGAGCACAAGTGTTTTTAAAAAAACAAATTGTTATCTTTAAAAAAATTGTTGCAATGTCCTTTGTGAACTTTAAGGCATTTGAGGGGCGTGAAAGTGGGTAAATGGGCTGTACGCTTTGATGTCAATTAAGGTTCTCAGACAGCCCTGTCCTTCGCGACAATTAGAGCTTAACCAGAATAAATAAACGTGGCGGTCCAGATAGCTTCAAGTCGGCAATAGTGCCCAATCATTCCTGTATCTTTAACAAAAAGTAAGGCATAGAAATATAGCAGTGTCTTTTATTATTTCAACTTTGCTAAATAAGTGGTGTTGCGTGTACGTTATCGGTCTTGGGCTTTTAAACTGCATCCACTTTGTTTTTCTCAGCGTGGGGAAATGTTTCTTAAAACGGATAAATGCATTATTAATGGTTTCTTGGAAAAGCAGTGCATTTATGATGAGAATGCAGCACAGTGTTAATGCATGGAGCCTTTAGCAGAGGAGTCTTGTGGAGGGCATATACCGCTAGCCAGAGCATGCTGCACAATGCAAGTTCGCGAGAACAGATTGTTCTGTTCAATGTGTTCTGTCCTTTAGCGTGTGCGGGAGGGGGGAGAGTGAGGAGGAATACATTGTTCAGCGCACTACATCCAGTACTTTGGAGAGACTGAGAAAATAAAAAAAGACATTGTTCTGTACAACATGTCCAGAAACATATAGTTGAGAAGTTCCTTGGTGCCTATGAAACTTTCACTTGTTTTTTTTCATGGAACAATAAAAAAAGAATTTCCTATTCCTCATTAGGTATTCATGTGGGGTGTTTTCTCTTTTTGTCACCATTTTTATAGCAGGATGCACATTATTGCTCATGCAGTATGTGCCGTAGGTGAATTTAAAGGCAGTCAGTCATGTTCCCGTCCATTTTCTGTTTTCTCCATTATTTTGGCCTGAGTCTTTTACATGGTTTTAACAACATTAATTGATTGTTGTAATTGAGCGTATTGCTTGAGTAATGTCCAGAGCATAAAATGAGTTTAACATGAGAGCACATCTAATCCGTATGCGTGTACTGTAGGTTTGTCCTGAAAACTTCTCGTACACCGCACCAACAATCGCAGTGAAACGAGGTGTCATTTGAAAGCCTTTGAAATGTGCTTCATGCCAAATTACGAAATAAGTACATTGTTTCCAAGAATTTGGCGACTTCAACTCAATGACCCGGTGCTGCTTATCCGATCTTACCAACTCTTTCGTTTCCAGTAGCCTGGCACGTGATGCCAACCCTCTTGTACAGTAATAGAACGGACGGGCATGTGCATGGGAGGTGTGCGGCGGGGTATGGGGATTTGGACCTCGGCACGCTTCCTGCGAGTTGATTTACATGGCCACACTTTAAAATGTCTAAATTGTTTGTGTTTTAAAACTTAAATTTGGTCATTTCATTGAGTAAATCTCATCTACACTTTCATTCCTAAAATTCTGTTAACTATCATGTAGCTAACGATTTGTAAAGATGATATTCGAAATAATTTGAACGGTGTTATTCTACTTTAAAATATGAGATTATCACCTAATCATACGGAATATTATGTGTGTCATGTTCTTGACTGTTTAATTAGTTTGCAATATAATTGGTGAGAGTAATAATAATATAAATATATACAACAGTGCATTTAAATCGACAGGGCTTTTTGCAACTGCTAACACATTACATTAATTGCTGCTTTTAATATCAATTAGCGATAAATAAAACTGACTCTGGAGGGGAAATGCATGATTTTTTTTCTTTGAAGATTGTGTCAGTGTTTGGCTCTGAATTAAAGGGCTCTTAACCAGCATATGATCTGCTTCATAGAGGGAGGGAGGGATATGTTTCATTTAACTACCATGGTCAGCGGACCTGTAACAGTTTAATTCTAATTCTAGATTTGAAGCTTTCGTGACTGCAAGGATTCATACTCTTAGTTTTTTCGGTAAAGTCACGTAGGTAAAAAAAAATAGAAATTAAAATTAATAAAAATAAAATAATAAAAATCACGACGTTTCGGAGGCAACACAAGTCTCCGTCATCAGGTGGGACCGTCACAGCCAGATTTGCTGTATCAAGTGAGGCAGGGATTCCAAGATGCAAGTTCTTAAATACAAGTTATGGGGGAGGGGGGGAAATAAAATCTGTTTAGAGTTCGGTGAGGACACGTCGTTATTTTTATTATTTTATTTTTATAAAAAAAAATTAAAATTTTTTTTATTTTTATAAAAAAAAAAAAAATTTTTTTTTACCTACGTGACTTTACCAAAAAAACTAAGAGTTGAATTCTAATCAATTTGAAGCACTGCTATCAGTATCTACGACTGGAAATATTGCTGTTCTTCTCACAGTTGCAGAGTAAATGCTAAATGGCTTAATTTGATTTGTTTATAAACTCAGTGCCATTGAATATGATTGCGCGTGAGTGTCTGCATGTCCCTTCACACAATGGCACGGTCTATTGCTTTGTGATGGACATACAT